GTTCCAGTTCAAAAAGACAGTGAAATCCCAGCACAACTGATCACTCCATCCCAAAGGCAGCTGTCACAAGGTAACCTGTGTGTGACGCTCTAGTGACCTGTGGCACAGGTTTCTATACAGACCCCGCTGATCAGCTGAAATCATGAATTATGTACGAGGAGTGGCAGAAGGGCAGTGGGCGTTAATCGTTCGTTTTCCATGCTCGTCAAAGACCACAGAAAGACGACACACTGTCCTATCTTACGGAGTCTCCTGGAGAAGAACGTGAGACTCCCACCCTGACCCTGGAATGCGGATCATTCTCGTTCTATCAGGGCCAATTAAAGATACAGTTTTATAGCAACTTTATTTTTAAGCCCACCTATTTTCTAGCATTATCTGATGGCATTTCAAAGAGGCGATGCTCTCACTTTCTCAACAGCTAACCTCTGTGGGATTCGAGAAACCCGGTACATAGAAAGGAAAGAGCTTGGCTCCTGGTTGTCTCTGTGGCGTGATGCCCCCGCCGCTGCCCACACTTACTGATAATCGTTTGCTTGTGTGCCGGAGATCAACGGCTTTCTGACTGCCATAAGAGGGTTTCCTTCCACCTTCCACAGTTGGCTCTGTCCGGATACGGGCTTGACTGGGGAACAGTGTCAGGGGCAGTGTCTGCAACACCTCCACACTTTATATTAGGCTTGTCTTTTGGATGCTAATGTTTTTTTCGTACTAGATGGATTGTCCCAGCCCTAGACTGCCCCCAGGTGGGGTGTAGAACTCCAGGAAGACAGATCATAACCTCACAGCTCTGTGCGGGGCACCTCGGGATCATGTGTGGACACGGAGGATGGGGGTACCTCCTCAGGTGACCCCAAAGATCCTTCAAGACCCAGCCTTGTCCAGAGGCCCTGCTTGGGGCGTGCCTTGGCCACATTGGTTTACCAAGAGAAAATATGCGGGACGTACTTGGGGCAAACAGAAAAAGGACCGGGCACTTCCTGCCGATTCAATGTTCTCTTAGGTCTCCAGCCCACGCTGCTCACGACCCCAAGAAAGCGCCCTATTGATGCGACTTTTTTATGGGATGAGGCCAACTTTACCCCTTCTACCCAAAGCCATCAACTGGGCATCCCCAAACTTACAAACTACAAAAGTTACAAACTTAGAAATAAGCAATACTCCAAGCCAAGAGATTTCTTTTGGTCACCCACAGGATAAAAAATCTGCGCCACAGCTGTGGGGCCAGTGGTAACTGAAGGAGCAAGGCCACCCTTTCGTGCTCCAGGAAGCCGTTAGTGAGGAGGAACCCCCAGCCCATCAACTGGTAAAATCAGGCACCGCTAAAAGCCACACATGTCGTTGACAATTTCTTCTCTAATGTGTCTTGTGGATCATTTCATTCTGATGTTTAAACTATATGACTCACATTCGCTGGATCCTTGAGATAGTACCTACCGTTCAATTACCTGACATAAATCCCAAGTTCTTAAAATAGACCGCACATGTGAAAAGCAGTCTGAACTTAGAGAAGACCACTCAACCAGAAACCGGCAAAACCCGTAGACACTGCACAAAACGGCAAAACAGGGAGACACAATCACTTTCCCACTTCCCAGTCCCGGGGAAGATGCAGGGTCACATGTCATGGGCGCATCCCATTAAGTAGTAAATAACAAGGCACTTGAAACTGCTCACCGGGTCATGTAAAATATTTTAGTAATTTGAAAGCTTGTCACTGGGACGTATTTCTTTTCCCAGGGAGTTTTGGGAAAAGTATCATCTAGACCTGAATTATTGGAACAATTGAGCTAATTCCATCTGTGTAAGAGTGTGCAAGATGTATACGAGTCGTGTCGGGGTTTGGAAGAAACGCAGGAGCAGAAAGCAACGTCCAATGTTTCCTGAACATGGCGGCTGCTGAGTCACACGCCATAGGAGGATTTGACACACTTACTTCTTGATGACGAAAAATTTCATTAGTTATACAATAAAGGTAGGTCAGAAGGGACTGATTTCAGCAGGTCCTCTGAAGGCTTGTTCTCTTAATATCTATGCCAGAATCCACCAATTAAAAATACACAAACGCAGTCAGGAACTCGAGAAAAGCCCGGACTCACTGACAATAACCTTCCCAAAGCCAGACACGGTGCACAGAGATGCACCGTGGTCTGGCAGCCCAGGGCGATTAGCTCTGAGCAAATGACACGCGGATCAGGCTGTGGGGGGAGTTTGGAAAAACTGCACAGGAGTGAGCCTTCCAAACAGAACACGTGGCGTGCGTAAATGGCTCAGAGATGAATGACCAGGACGGGTGGAATATTCTAGAAGCCCAGTCCAGCTGCATTCACTACAGAGGAAGCACTTCCTGCCAGAGTTCAGTGGGAGAAAAGCGTGGCCAGGACAGGGACCCCCAGCCGGGGAAGGAGTCTGCAGGAGGAAACCGAGGCAGCAATGCCCACAGCTTCTGGGTCTGTTCCAAAGCTGGTGCTCATTTGCGGAAATCATTCAGATGAGTAAGACCCAAATTAATGTTCTGACTTTACTTGAATGCCAGCTGATCAGAATTCAAGGCCAGTCCCATGGGAACATGAGTGAAATGGGGCCACGTGTAGGCAGATGTCCCAGCTACTCTGGACCCCATCCAGCGCCTCCTCCAACCCAACTCCAACATCATCAAATGGTGGCTCCATGTGCCTATTTCTGGTGCCTCGGGAAGCTCGTTTTGTTTTTCAGATCGTGGATACATGGATGCAAAGACCAACAGAGACCACCTTGGCTGATCCCCATGGTCTAAACATAAAAACAAAGACATGACACTCTACTCCCTTTCCTGGAGCCGTTGGCCCCGTGAAAGGCACATGGCCACAGGGAGCCTCTGGCCGTGCCGACCGGCAGCCCTGGTCCCCTTCGTCCCAGGGAGGAGCCATCCCTGCATCCAGACAGACCCCTGTCTTGGGGAGGACAGTGCTCACCATCCCCTGCAGTGTTTCTAGAAAGTTCTGTGCTGTCTGCTTGTGATCAGTTGAAATTACAACATACCTGGGCCCTGGTCAGCAAAACGATTTTTTAAGGGGTGCATAATAGGGAGAGACCCAAAGGCATCGACGTGAAAGGAATGGGGACCACACAGGGCTAACTCTGCAGGTCTGGGTCTCCAACCTCACTGGTCCGTCCTCAGTCCCAGAGAAGAGTCCCATCCCGACTGGGGGTCAGGTGTCGGGCGCCCGGTGCCCAGCGCTCGCCCTCCCTCCCTCCCTCTCTCCCACCTTCTTTTGCCAGGAAGCCACCCCTAAGGGCTGAAGAGGCCGGGATGGGCACAGGCTGAGACAAGATGGCATTTTCCTTCATCACCGTAAACAGGTGTCACTGCGGGAGTCTTACTTCTAAGGCACTTTTTTTTTTTTTTTGGTAGAAATAATATTGAGAGTGTATTTTTAAGATTGTACAGCATAAGACTAAAGAAGAATCAGGTGAAAAAAGCGTGCCTGGCTGACTCTGTCGGTGGAACATGTGACTTTTGATCTCAGGCCCCATGTTAGGTGCAGAGATCACTTATAAAAGAAAATCTTTAAAATGTTAAAAAAAAAAAAAAAAAGAATAACTGGGTGGCATGGAAATGGTGACAGATAATGGTTTTCACCAAAACACATAGATCAGTGATGTGAGGTCTATTTTCCTCAGATATACAGACGATGATTTTTCTTTGCCACTATAGTGATCACACTTTCCGTTGAGATGCTATTAAAAAACCACCAATTTTCACAAGTTGGCTTTGGAGTCTTAGCCAGCACCTTCCCCTTGTCTCCCTCGCCCTCACAGCCCCGATGGCAGGCTGGAGCCCGCCCACCTGGCCATCTGCCTCCCTTGTCCACACAACGAAGCTCTTCTTTGCACTGTTTCTGTGTCCAGAGACTCGTCTGAAACGCTTTCCTTTCAGAATGACTTCAAACGTGAGGCTCTTTTCTGCGTGAGCAGGGTGGGGGCTGTGCTCTGTCTGCAGCACCTGCCTCCTCCGTGCTCGGGTTCTAAGGCACATTGTGTAAGGAGAACGTACCCACGGGGCTCACCCTCCGGGGGCACGCTGATCCCTGCCGCCAGCCGAGGCCATCCCGTGAGAGGCGGGACAAGGGGGCGGCTGGTGCGTGGCCGGGAGCACCCACTGGGCCACGATGAGGGCCGGGCTCTGGCAGGACATGGGCACCCCCTGAGCTCAGGAAGCGGCCCGTGACTCAGGCTTCACGGGTGGCCTTTTATATCCCCCTCCTTCTCTGCCAGAGGCGGGTGCCGGACAACACGGCCACGCCTTCTGCCCGCTTCCTAGGGGCTTAGACACACGGACCCAGGCTTCACCCCTGACGTGGGGGTCAGAAGGAAAGGAGCCACGGAACCGGCCCAGCAGGAGGGGCTGCAGGGGTAGCAGTCAGAGGAGGGTCCCGCACCTGCGTGTGCTGCCCGCACCACAGCCACAGGGTGACGAGCGCAGAGAGCTGTGTATTCGCTAGTGTGACCACAGTCACACGCCCCCTCCCCCCCCCCCATCCTCTGTCACCTTATGCTGTCATCGGGAGCTTCTGCAATCTCGCGCAGGTGGGAAATCTGAGGTCAGGGTGGAATTATTTTGCCCAAGTCACAAAGCAAGAGGCGCCCAACTCCAGCCCCAGACCTGCCTGACCCGCAAAACGGTGTCCTCTCCTCCCCCCACACCTGGCACCTTCCATCCACACCTTCAGGACTCCGGGTGCCAGGCCAGGGCTGAGCACGTGGGCACCAGGGAGGGCCAGTGCGGGCCCGACGCTGGCCAGTGTCCAAGGTGCCTGGAGTCCTCCCGGGCACCTGCCTGCCGAGGCACAGGGCACCCGGAGCAGTCACTGAGGAGGAACCTGGGACCTCCTGTTGCCTGTCCACTGGTTACACCTCTTCATTGCTCACACGGCAGGGCCAGAACGATCCCTTTTCTTTCCACACCCGCCAATTACCCACTAAGGAGAGACACAGGAGCAAAAGGCATCGTCACCTACCGGTTCCTCTTGGTTCTCATGTTTCGGTCTTCCCTGCCATCCTCAGACCTCGACCCATCGCTGTGGTCGGCTGGAAGAAAACCAAGTTAACAAGATTGCCGGTCAGCGCCCATAACCCTGGCAAAGCCCGGGCAGCCCCCACTTCCAAGCGGAGTCAGCTGGAGGGTCAGGAAACATACTTCCCACAAAGACTGATATCAAATCCTGGAACCAACCTTCCCTTGGTACTCGCTCTATGTTCCAGCAGAAGAGAGATCTGATTCTCTTTCGTGCAGAGAAGGCATCTCTAGCTGCCGCCCGTGTGTAGAGGCTGCTAGATCGTCCAGAGAAGCCAGAGGCTGGAGACTGGGAGGTGGGCATCACCCAACCCCCACCCCCCTGCCCCGCCGGCACCTTGGGACTCAGGCCCTGGATAAGCCCTTCTGTGTCACGTGCCCCAGCAGGTTCTCACAAGTGACCTGAGAGACCTGGTCCCCCCTCTGTCCACTGCAGTGAATCACCCCACTTTTTTTTTAATATTTTATTTATTTTTGATAGAGAGAGACAGAGCACAAGTGGGGGAGGGGCAGAGAGAGAGAAGGAGACACAGAATCTGAAGCAGGCTCCAGGCTTAACCGACTGAGCCAGCCAGGTGCCCCTCTTTATTTTTGAGAGAGAGAGAGAGAGAGACAGAGCGTGAGCAGGGGAGGGGTGGAGAGAGAAGGAGACACAGAATCCGAAGCAGGCTCCAGGCTCCGAGCTGTCAGCCCAGAGCCCGACGCGGGGCACGAACTCACAAACTGCGAGATCGTGACCTGAGCCGAAGTTGGACACTTAACCGACTGAGCCACCCAGGCGCTCCGTGAAGCACCCCACTTCTGCACACGGCATGTACCTCACTACTGGCCATGCAGCTTCTTCAAAAACCCAAATTGATTTTGAAGACAGGCCCCCTGTTTCCATCCTGAGGAGGCTGGCCTTGTAAATATTTGATGAGCTTTTGGAATGAAAAAGTAAAAAGGTGCTTCAGCATTTCTTATTTGTCTCCAAAAGGGAAAGAGGAAAAATGAGTATCAGGATGCTTCCAGAGCATTATTATTTCAGTCCTGACAGATGAACGATTTCCATACGCTCCCTGGCGTCACAACTGATTTCTGCCCTGCTTCTCATTCTGTGTCCGTCACGCACAGGAGACCACTTTCTCGTGCCCGTGTCCCGTGTGGGCAGAGGTGCAGGGGGCTGGGCTCCGTGGAGCATCCCCGGTCTCCGCGTCTGCCAGCCCACCTGGCTGCCTGTGTTCCACCCTTCCTGGGGAGGCTCTGCCATGAGAACGGGGCCACGAAGGATGCGCTGTCTGGAACCCCAGCGAAGCCTCCGCCCCCCACCTTTTCATAGGCTTCTTCCTATGTTCTGTGTGGGGCTGCCTGCAGGAGGAGAGAGTCAGGTTCTGGAAGCTCCCGGCTGCCCCAGCCCAGCCGTCGTCCTGGTTGGGGTTCCTCCCACGCACAGCCACCCACGCCAAGCCGCGTGCACTACACCACGCCATCACGGGACCAGTGGGCGCTTGCCAAGAACCTTCTGGAAGCCCCTTCTGGAAGAGGCTCGCCCAGGAAGGAGACGTTACAGACACGGACACTGTCCAAATGAAGATGGGGAGCGGGGCTCCCTGTGGGACAGTGGGGAGGGGTGGTCCGGGACCTCAGCCCCGGCAGCCTCCGCGGCACCTGGGGAGCCCTCGCGCAGGGAGCCTCCTGCGCTGGTGACGCTTGGGGCTGGACGTGCTGCAGGTTGCTCAGCACATGCCTGTAGCAGGGGGGACAGGTCCCAGGTGCGACAGCCAGAAATGTCTCTAGAAACTGCCAAACACCCCCTAGGGAACAGAAGCCCCCTCCTGGTTGAGAACCAGGCCTAGAGACGAGAGCATTTGTGACACCAGCTGATATGGGGGGGACTCACCGTCTTCACGCTCCACACTCTCTTCCCACATGGCCCGTCCAGGGTGCCAACAGTCAGCCCTTCTAGGCCGCTGCCCCAAGAGGCACACGCACCTCCCTGCCCCTACCCTGTCCTCCCCACCCGGCCTCTCTGCTTCAGTGGCCCACGGGCACCCCAGCCCTGCACACTCAACCTGTCCACCCCCGTACCCACTCTCCCCCGTCCCTGCCTCCATGCCTGCCAGACCCCTGCACCTGAGACGCCAGGACTGGATCCCGGCCCCTCTGCCCCGGGGGGGACAGGGGTCCCCCAGGGGCTCCGCCTCAGTGACCCCAGAGCAGCAGCGAGCCTGCCCGTCTGCATCTCAGGGTGTCTGAAGGTGCACCTCCTTCCCAGAGCGCCTGGGGGGAGGGGACGCTGCAGCCAGGTTTCGCAGAAAGAGAGGGACTGTGTTTTGCCATCTGCTGGCCTTTCAGGCAGAGAGGACGGGGGTGACGGGGAGCAGGCAAGGTGTGGCCAGAATAAGAAACCAAGTGGAGCAGAGGCAGACCACGCCCCTCGCTCCACTCCAGTACACACTTGAGGGAGGGCAAAGGGTAGACGTGAAAAATCAGAAGTTTTTTCAGGAAGAACGAGGTCATACAATTATAAAGCTATTGATTATTTTTTAAAGATCTTTTGTTGGTTTGTTGTGGATAGTCTCGTCGTGAGGAAAGTAACCAAGACACAGAATCCAGAGGCCGTAAAGGAAAATATTCGTAACTGCGACTGCCTTTAACAGTACAAGACCAGAAGGAAGATCACGCATTCGGCAGAGCGGGGGGCGCTGGGGTCGGCAGCTCTTCCGGATGCCCACCGAGCTCTGGATTCGGACGAGACCGCATAGCCGCCCGGATGAGCCGCCAGCCTTCAATAACCACAGAGATAATAACGGAGCAGAAACTCCAGAGGCCACACGCAAGGATCACACGTTTAAGAAAATCGTTTGGAAAAGTCACAAATGGATGCCTCCAGTCCTCCACAAGCAGGAACCAGAAACCCCTGAGGATAGGAGAATCCGTTTTCCAGGATTTCCATGTAATAAACCCAGAAAGTCCAGTTCTCAACAAAAAATTACAACCCATACAAAGAAATAGGAAAGCGTGGCCCATTCACGAGAAACAAGAATTGGACAGAAACCATTCCTGAGGAAAATGACCTGCGAACAGATGAGAGAGGTAAACGTGGGAGCTAAAACCATAAAACTCTTAGGGGAAAACACAGGGAGACATCCTGACAGCAGATTTGGTAATGGTTTCTTACCCATGACACCAAACCACAGGCGATAAAAGGAAGAAAACCCGAGAAATGGGACTTCATAAAATTAAAAACTTCTGTACATCAAAGGATACTATGACCACACAATGGGAGCAAACGTTTGCAAATCACGTATCTGCCAAGGGATTAGCACCCGGACCATGGGTGAACTCCTACCGCTCCACAACACCACCACAAACTAAGACAAAAACAACCCAATCATAAAAAGGACAAATGACGTGAAGGCACGCTTCTCTAAAGAAACCATACACGTGGCCAAGAAGCACGGGACAAGATGTCACACACCCTTAACCATTAGGGAAACGCCAGTCAACACCAGAATGATGCGCCACTTTACATGCTCTATGGTGGTGATCACAGTAGCAGTGATAATAATACTAACAATAAAAACGAGATCAGCGGGTTCTGGAGGGGATAGAGAAGGATGGGAAGACCCCCGTGTTGGGAACGTAAAACAGCGTCACTGCTGTGACAGAAGAAGTCTTGGCCGCTCCTCAAGAGGCCAAATGTAGAACTGCCCCTTGAGCCAGAAATTCAACTCCTCGGTATAGACACAGAAGAACTGAAGACAGGGACTCAAACGGCATCTGTGCGCCGATGTTCATACTAACACAATTCATGGTAGCCAAACGGAGGCAACAGCCAAGCGCCCGTCAACCGACGGACGGACAGGAGATGGGTCCACCCACACGATGGGATATCATTCGGCTGGAAACAGGAACGAACGTCCGACAGAGGCTACAGCCTATGCGGATAAGCCGAGAAGACACTAAGCTCGGTGAAGCCAGTCAGGCACTAAGGGGGCAGGACCGCCTGGTGCCACTCGCAGGAGGCCTATGAGCCGGCGAGTCCATAGCCGTGGGGGGCGGGGAAGGGAGGCTCCCGGGGCTGCGGGAAGAAAGTCACGGGGACTTGCTGATAATGGTTACGGAGTTTCCGTCTGGGGTGAAGACAGAGCTTTGGAGGATGTGGTGATGGTTGTACAACAATATTAAGGAAGTTAATGCCACCAGGTCGCACACTTAAAAATGGTTACAAAGACAGACGCCAAGTTACGTATACTTTAGTACGATCAGAAGAAATTCGGGACCGATTTTTTATGGAAAAAAAATCAAAAGATGAGGAAAAAAATACTGTAATCGTGCTGTAGCCCAAATACCGGTATCTACAACACTCCGTATATTTCAATAAAAGAGACAAAGACTTAAGCATGTCACGGGATACAAAACAAAACAAATGGCCAATAAACCTGTGAAAAGGTTCAATTTCACTCAAAACTTAAAAAACACCAGTCGAAACAAAGAATGGTTTTAAAATTCAAAGGTGGATGATCTCTGGTGCTTGCAGAAGTGTGCAGAATCTATTAGTGGGTCTGGGAGCTGGGCTATCGTGGAGGAAAATTTAAAAGGCATGTACCTTTTGACCTGGCAGTTCGAATAATACGAATCTGTACAATACAAACGCTTGTACAGATGCTCCTAAGATAAATACACGTGCACAAAGACATTCTTATCAGCACGTCCAGCTGAGGGAGAGGGAGCGGGAGAGAGGAGGGAACCTTGCACAGAGGACCTGAGCACTCTGCGGGAGAAGCCTGGGCCCCGGGAGCCAGGGTCAGTGCTGGCCAGATGTCCGAGTCCCGCCTACAGGACCGCCCCACGGGCCAGCCCAGAACGCAAGGCTCAGCAGGCCTGTCCTTCCGCTCGATGGGGGCCAAGCTTTGACGGGACAGCTGCACCCCTGACCTGAGCTCTCTGCCAATCGCCCTGCGACAGCTCTGTCTGCATTTCCTAAAATCCATGAAATTTGCAACAGTTGAGTCATTCATTTAAAATCGTT